GCAGCTGCTGCTGCTGCAATCCATGCCGGTGGCCACCCTGACGCTGCTCGGACTTGCCACAGCACGCCAGCTCCATGCACCGCAAGCCCTCTCGCTGCCATCGGGCAAACCAGTAAATCTTACAAATCTTGTTCTTGGGGGGTGCTAATTGTTCATTTTCTTGCCCTGTGATTTGCATTTCCTTAGCAGGGCAGTGAGATGTTAATTTATTTATGCATGTCCAGCAGCTGCTTCCTTACCACATGGCAAATACTGAACCAACTGCTCATCCTACACTGGCCTGTGCAGAATATAGGACCTTTCTAAAACCATAAGCACAAGAAGTTCTTGTGTGAAATTCTTGATCCAATCCTCTCCAATACAGAAGGCTGTTTTCTGAAAGAAAGCAAAAAAGCGGCTTCTGTGTCTGCTCAGTAGTGAATATATAGCTGATGCTTTGCTTACATGCATCACTTGCATTTACTTCATTTATTTCTGATGGTTTTTAAAGATATTTAATCAAATATCAAAATATTCTTGTTCTGACGTCTAGTGAAAATGTACATAAAACCAGGTCTTGAAAACATAATAAACTTCACACTCATCACATTCTGTTGATTTTTTTTCTCCGAGCATGCCTTTCTGTGATAAAGGTAACAGACAGTAGGGAAGTACATGTGGTGGGGTCGTAATTCAGCTGAGCTGACCCTTACGAATAGCGTGTAAGCCATAGTACGCATATGGATTACATTAGTCCAGTGGGGCCCTTGATTTAAAGAGCGGGAAGAAGTTGGAAGGAGGGATCTGCTTTCCAAACTGAGGCAGGGTCAAGAACTGAAGAAAAACCATGATACTGAAATGACACATTCAGCTTTTTCCTGTTTGGGGATTTACCAAACTCTTCTTAAATTTCTGTTTTAACTTACTTTTCAAGGATGTTATTGAAAATCCTTTTTTATAGCTGTCACATTTTGCTGTATGCCTGCAATTAAGCACTGTGAATGACAAATGTAGCTCGGAAATGAAGCGAGCCCCACATATTTCAGGTTGCTGTGCACCATGTAAGTGTGCTCGTGGTGTGATTATTTTGGCTCGGCTCGGGAGATCAGTTGATGGAGGAGGAGAGGGAGATCATTCCTTCTGAGGGCTACAGTTCTCTATGGATGGCTGAGAAGGAGCCTGGACCGGTTGGCTCTTTAGAGTGAGATTGAAGGGCTCATGGGATGGTGAAGGCCAAAGTGTGAAAAAGAGAGGTATCAGGGGGGAGGTGTTACATTTCAGTGGAGCAGAAGTCCTTCTGTGAGCTTAATCAATAGCAATGTAGAAATGGCATCTTGACTTTGGTCCTGGGCTGCTGTTGTTTTTAGTAGAATTTGTTTCAACCTTTAGGAAAATGTTATTTTTCCTGTCAGAACCTCCAAGGTAATCAAACTCAGTAAGTTACTGAGGTTATTCAGAGTGTGCCAAATGTCTCTAGTCATATCACAAACTTACCAAATTATGTCCACATCCCACTCTGCTTCCATAGTACGGTCAGATGAATAACGAGGGAGAAGGGCTGTATGCCCGGGCAAGTGTAGCACATGGTAAAACTCTGAGCTAACACCGCTGCAGCCCTGACTCCAGAGCTCAGTGGATGCACAGGCTTTCTGTGAGAGGCTCAAGCCTTGGGATCCTGCCAGGGCTTGGCCGGTTTATGGGGAAATAGCCACAGGGCTGGCTTCTCTGCTCTGGGTGACTGCTGCCAGCCCACGCCGTTCCACACCTCTGGTGGGCAGGCGGGCACCTTTCCAGGTGCGGCTGCACCTCCTCTTACCTCTACGACGGGTTTTGGAGTTGGTGGATTAACTCTGCATTTCTTTCACCTTGATGGCCTCTGAAAAGCAATGGTAGCTCTGTCTCCTCGGGATTTTTCTCCATTGCCAAAGCCAGCGTTCTGTCAGCTTTGTATCAGCCCACAAGCTGCACCCAAGTTTTCCTCAGGGCTTTCACCAGACATTTCTCCAACGCATTGGTGCTGTCATGTGAGGTCCCTGTGGTGACTGTAAATAAATTCAATAAATAAGGATGGGCAAAAGGCACGTTTACATAATGTGGATACACCATTCTCTCCAATTGATGATCTTTTAACCCAGGTTCCAAGCCATATCTCTCTGCACTACAAGCCATTTTGAATTGATCTTTCCAGTAAGACGCTGTGAAAAGCAGTATGAAATGCTTTATTAGAATCCTCAATTTATGTTGCTTTCCTATTAAAAAAAGAAAGTAATTCAAGTTATGCCTAAATTCTATAAAGGGCACTTGGAAAGATTACATATAGAAGTAGGCTTATACAAAGTGTGGAGTTTTGTTTTAGGTAATATGTTATTTGGAACTGTTTTCCTTTTACTGCTGTGTATATAACTGTGTGTAACTTCACTGACACCTTCTGTAATCCCTAGCAGCACATCTCACGCTTAGCAAGTCTGCAGTAGCTGCTTCGATTTAAGGCTAATTTTATCTGTATCAGTTTCCCTATTTCTTTGGACCATAACTATTTAATATGCTGCAAACTAGTGTACAGACTTAGGACACTGGCAATGCCTTGCCTCTCTTGCTCACTTCTCATGACATGCTATAGTTACAGCTTTTCGACTTTTTTTAAAAAAAAATTCTGGTTTTTAAGTTGTTTTTTTAAGTTTTAGGGTTTTCTGTGTCATTCCCATTGTCATCCCGCCACCCTGAGTGATGGTATATAGAACAGATAACCTGTAGCTTCTTGAAATACCTACTGTGGTTTTTTTCTGGGCTTGTAGAGGAGTGGATTCAGTGGCTTAGGTAATTTTTCCTGATCTTGTGTTCCTAACTTAATGGTAGACTTAAGTCATCAAGGAGAAATGTCATAAAGGTGGCCCCAGAACTTTTGTGCGGACTCAGAGCTGTACATAGAAAATTTGTGTAACTTGGAGGCAGTAAGAATCATGACAGGAAGGCAAGAGCGTATGTAGCTGATTTGCAGTGACGCAGATTTCAGATAGGAAATAGCTTTGGATGCTCATAAATTACACTCCACTGGAACCAAACATGTATGCACATCTCATATAAGCCTCTGTAGTTGGTTTTTTTTAATGGAAAACAAAATAATACTTTATTACTGTTGGCTTTTAAGCCTACAGAAGTCATTTACCACAGCTGCTTACTGTGGGAGATTTAGTAGCATATTTATGCTAATAGGAATTATGGATGAACAGTGAAGAGTAAATATAACTTTAGGATTTTATCCAACATCAGCTCACTATCTGCAACATTGCCCAATTGTATCAACATTCCTTTATTTAATTTACTCCATTTTGGTACCTTCCTGTCCAGTAATGAAGGCATATCTTCAATCCTGCCCATGCTACATCAAGCCATTTCAAAACAGTGGGGCTGGAAGAAAACCCTGTATATCTTGGCTGAAAAAAATTATGTTCCTGGTCTCTTTTCCCAGAGCCTAA